TCCCCAGCCAGCCTGTCTGGCTGGGGGAATCTGGGGGGTGAAAGCCACCCATCCTAAAGAGGCCCAGATTTGGTAACACTGGTCTAGTGAGTGCCAGATTATCATCTTCTTCCTTTATGAGTCACTAAAGGGACCATTTAAATGGGATACATTAAAGAAATGTGGGGCTTCTATTTTGATCAACATGATGCGCTGATTCCGATCTGCCATTTTAAGGCACGATTGCCTCATCTTTGGGGTTTCCCCTCTTGTTTTTCTTCGTTTAAATTACTGCTCTGGAGTGACTGATTGCGGTTCTCAAGGGGAGGAAACAAGGAAAGCAGGAGTCACTCCTTCTTCATCTGCGGGAAAACAAAATTCCTCCCCTGAAAAACAGCCCAAAGCTGAACTTATTCCAGAGCCAAAAGAGAATGTGCCAGAGACAGTAGCACAGAAATAAAGTTGTATGTGGTTGTTTCTCTCTTTAAAAGCTCCTTCTTGTGATTTATGGGCTTTTAGAAAGCCTGAACGCACGCTGATAAAAAGTGCAGTGGATGAAGCGAAAGAGAAGCCGTGGAGTGAAGTCGGTGATTGTTTCCTCCTGCTTGACCGTGCTGCCAAATAACGTTCCAGAGATGTTGAAGCAGGGTTGGGAATAAATAAAAATATTAATTTCATTTTAAAAAGGCAGTCTTTTTCTTTATATCTAATTTTTTTGGGGGGAGGGGGGCAGCCGTTACTTCAGAAAGAAGAGAACCAGCTTAGCTCAGAAAGAGAATTTTAGCACATCTGTTCCAGCCTTCTGTGTTGTGCTGGATTTTTTTCGATTTTCAGATTTTGCTTTGCATCTCGCTTTTGATTTTATTTGCGGTTTTTCTTTTAGCTCTTTAAAAACGTGGTCTTGGTGCAGAGGTTAATAAAACACCATCCAGATGTTTTTCATGGTTGTTTTGAATATCCTTGTGGTCTAGCTGTGCAACAGATAATTATGACTGGAGACTCTAGTCAAGTGTTATTTCCTTTATCAGATAATACTGTTCCAGCTAAATTTAATCCATATATGATGAAAGGGTTTCTAACCTGAATGTTTAATTGGTGGATATATTATGACTTTTAAATCCTTCACAGCAATAATGAACTTTTTTTCCCCAGTCCCACATCAGAGTTTTCCTGACTGCATTATTCTTAATATCCTGATTTTTAGGATATTTAGTTAAATATAATATTGGTCCTAGTACAAGAGCCAAACTCACTCCAGTGACATTATTAATCACCATAAGAAAACGTTCTATTTTTCAAGATGGTATTTAAATACATCACAGTTTAAGGATTAATATTTTATTAAACAGATCAAACAAGAGTTTGAAACTGAATTGTTCTGATATAAATGGACATTCTGCAAATTTATGAACTTTTTAAAGTTCATAAAAATTCTATTTATTGTGTTTTTACAGAAGTTTTAAGGATATTTTTAGTGTTATATATTGTAAGCCATCTAGCTTTGCAAAAGTAGAGGGCATACAAATATTGACAAGTAAACAATTTGTTATTATTGATCTTATTGATATTTGTGGTTGTATTATTGCTTTTGCTTCATAGAGAAATAAGAATAAAACTTTTAAACAAAAACGTTTGATAAGTGGTATAAAGGGACTTGAGAGTACATATACAAGACAACCCACACTTGAACTATATAATACTTGTATCTGATCAGTTTTTCACTTGAGAGCCAGTTTGTTGTAGTGGTGAAGGCCAGGCTACAAACCAGGAGATCCTGAGTTCTAGTCCCACCTTAAGCACGAAGCCAGCTGGGTGACCTTGGGCCAGTCACTCTCTCTCAGCCCTAGGAAGGAGGCAAGGGCAAACCACTTCTGAAATCTTGCCAAGAAAACTGCAAGGACTTGTCATCAGGAGTCAAGACTGACTTGAAGGCACCCAAGAAAAATGGAACTTAACTCCTTTTACACTCCCAGCCAGGATGGCTATTCTACTAAGTGTATAAGACATGCATTGATTTGCTTCTTTGCTTGTTAATGCTCTTAATATGGTTGGAGGTTTATAATGATGCCTTTATCCAACATCCTTTAATGATGCTTGGATTTTGCTGATTGCAAATACCAAAAACACTGGCAATAGTTTGTGCAATGTCAAAATTTGGACAGCGACTCTGGCATGGAGACTACAAACGCTATTGCCTTCCATTGTTCATCTCACAACCTTAGGAGAAAGATCACAGAGCTGCGATAGCTTGTTAATGTTGTCCTGATTTCTGCAATTTGGCAGCTGCTGATTTATTTTTTTATTATTTTATTTTATTTTTTTTATTTTATTCATTTATGGTGTCTCCAATCATCAATGTCACTTGCATTTGTATTGTGAAATTGTTTTTTTTCCTATAACAGTTAAGAGCTGTTGCTATAGGGCAGTTGTTTCAGAAATGAATAGCAAGGAATAAATCTTGGATGTGTGGAAAATGTGGAAGCGTAAAGTCTCAGTTTGTTTCATTGGCTAACAATTTTCTGATCACAAGTCCTTGGCTTGCATTCCCCATGCTTTAAAATAGAAATGGTAACATCCACCAACTCACCTAATATACTTCCTTTGGGTTAACGAATTAAGGATTGCAAGGTCCACGATTCTCTTATTGCATTCTGTAAATGATATCTAACTTTTGCACAAATAAGGAATATTATTGTAATGGTTAGGACTGAAAATTATTGGCTGGTTAATGTTGACTTCTCCAAAATAGCTTCAGTTTTGGTGCTGAAAGGATGTTAGTAAACACACCTTTGGGGTTAATATTCTAAAGTCATTGGCATTTGTTTATAATCATATCTTCCATTGCAATGAATTCAATGAACTGCTGAGCAGTCATAGTCAAGATGAAGCTGTCAGATGGACAGTGGTGCCGTGAACACTGGGTGAAAATTCGTTGGAGGGAACAAGTGGTCCAGGAGGAATATGAATCTAAGGAGGTACAGAGGCAGAGAAGGTTGAAGACAACGGCATGGGCTCAAGGAGGCCCAGAGCACTGGCACCCACAATCCAGGAGGCTGGCAGCTGTGTAAGGAGGCCTAAGATGTGGGTCTAGTCTAGTGGGTGAAATCCACCAAGAAGGGGAATATAGCAAGATAATAGTGGAAATATCTTAAGCATATGACATATTGTTCTGCAGAAACTAGAAGATAGGAATGAGGTAGCATGTAAGACTTAAGTATATGAGATAAGAGGTAGAAAATAAGGCTTAAAAATAGGAAATAAGACCAAATAGGACTTGCACCATAGACTTTCTACAGTACTAATGCTAAGTAGGAAGTTAGCATACCTTTAATACTTACCTGGTAAAAAGCTTATACAAACTCTTGCTGTTGTCTAAAGGGACTTTATTTAGATAAAACTTCTACAGTAAAATCCCTAAGTACCCAAATTGGGGTGCTTTGTGGCTGGGCCTGGTGCCTTCCTAAGCTGAACCAAGAACTGGGGGGATAATTGAAGGGGGGGTGCTGCAGAGAGAAAGAAAGGCTGAGTAACCCTTCCCAGTGAGGTAGCTCTCCTCTCATCCTCCCTCAGCCTCTTCTTTCTTCCCTCTCCTTTTGAGGTTCACCAGCCCCAGTGATTAGACTCTTGTGTTTTCCACAACTGCGCCTAGTTCTTGTGTATTGCAAACTTCACCATTGCACACCCATTTTTCTTACCTTCCTTACTGAAGTCTGCAGAGGACTTCCAGAAGGAAAGAAAAGCTGACTGAGTCCATTCGGCATATGTTGGAAGTGAATATAGTTGTTTGGAGATAAGGTTTATTCGACACATTAAATCACTCTGAGCATGGCTGAAAGATGCTTTGGGGCCAGGCCTAGTTTGAAGTTGTGATCTCTTTTCCAGCACAAGAGTTTGGTACCTTTATAGCTCAAGTTTTCTTTATCCTGTCTAGAGCTTTAGGCATAGTGTACATAGCTGTTAAAAAAATTAAGCAAGCACCTAATTGGGTGTTCACATGTGTCAAGTTTCCTTAGATTCCTTCTTATCCTCAGGGAAGATTTCTACTCTAATGCAGTGTGATGCAACTGTCAGGGTATATTAGCAGCTTTTAAAAAGCCATTAAAAAGAACTACCCTTGCTCTCC